GCCACTCAAGCTGTTGAAGAGAAGAAGATTTTCAAGGATTCAGCACTCTGACTTTTAGATTCACAACTGTTTCTTATGTGAATTAAGTTTTAAATGAAATCTGGAAGCTGGCCATCTTTTAGAAACACTGGAACACTGCCAAATTTCAGAAAGCATTTTTCATTTTGAATGACATCATTACATCTTTAACCCTTCTTCTTTTACCACCCCCTCAAAAAGACCTCGAAGAGACAAATAAATCAAACAGACAGAACAGAATTTTTGCACTCTGAAAAGTGAGAAAATCTAGAAATCACATGAAGTCTGATGGGGAGTTAGTTACAGGGAGGATCTGACAGGGATTTAGAGTGCGTCTGCCAGGGAGTACTGACACACTGCTGTGATGGGCAGCATGGTAAAACTAAGACCAGTAGTAAGTATTGGTTATTATAAATTTTTTCAATTTGGTGGCTATTTGGCCGATATTCCAAAAGTCACAGCACAAGTGGATAACTCTAATAGGAATTGTTCAACTGAAAGGATGACACTAGTCATGACTAAGGCCTGTTTGTCATATTGTATTGAAAAACCTTGCCCACGAGTTGTCATTCTCATCTATACCCAGATTAATGCTTTTCTTTATAATAATGCAATGAGATGCAGATTATACTGAGATTCACTAATCCTTCCATTCTTCGTATTTTTCACAAAATATCGACACTGTTGATTAGGAGTCATTGGAGGAAGAAGAAATAAAAGATTAAAACAAGTCAGGAGTATTTTTGACTGCATATGATTTGGAGTTTCATTCCATTTAAAAGAATCCGTGAAAGTGTATGATACTTGATAGATACTTAAGACATATCAGGGCAGATCCTAATTCCAATAAATCCGGTGAAGTTAAGTATGTGGATTTCAGTGAGAGAAGCAGCAATACATTTTAAAAATCAACAAGACTGCTGTTGGAATGTACTAATATATATATTGAATTACATCTCCAAAATAAGATGAAGAAAAGGGAAGGCAAGAAAATGGTCAATGCATAGCAAATCACCTGATCTCATTCACCCTCTTAGAAAAATCAGGTGCATTAATTAAAAATCACTAGCGTCTCAAGCACAGATAGACATTATCTGTTAAATAATGTTATGCCTGGCTATCCTTGACACAGTCAAACGCATTTTATCCTTTTGTACACATCCTCCAGCCAGTGGGGTTAAGATAAGTACAACAACTGTATGATCAGTTCTGTATACTTTCTTGTATTCATTACATTTCTTTTTATCACATAACAGAACGCTTCATTTAACTGATTTCTTTTCTCTGCAGTTTATATTGGTCCATCTTGCCTCAAATTCTGCTCAGGGCGAGGACAGTGTACTAGAAATGGCTGCAAGTAAGAGTTATAATTCAGTACTTGTGTTCAATTTTTGTCACATAGTTCACCTGATGATCTGAAAGTTGAAGTGATTTTCATTTCAGCCCTTGCTTTTTGAGATGACTAAATATAAAACTAGCATAGCCCCCAGAATGCGTAAAGCTCACTGGAGAGGTAAAGATCAATCTTTCTAAACAGCAGCATATTTAATATTTTTTTAATAATTTTCTTTTGGGAGAAAGTATAACTTCCAGTTCACCTTAAAAGGTGCTACGGAGCACACTGAAATATCAGTGATGCATGCTTTATGCATGGTTTTAAAAGTGGTTTGGGACTGTATCACTTTTATATTAAATTTTGGGAAAGAATGACACTTTTCACAGACCTAATATCCCATAGCCTAACAGACCTCAAGGAGAGAAGGTTAGCACTCCACTTCTTTCTGAAAGTCTGGCTTCTTAAAAGCATGCCAGCCTAAAAAGTAACAGTACTTACTCAAAGCGAGTAAGCACATTCAAAATATTGGTGTAACTATTCTTTTCACATATTGACAAGAGCATGACCTACAGGGCATTCTGTTATGCAATTTCTTGTAATTGCATCTCACACGCTACAGATAAAAGCAAATTAATCATTTTACATATGAACAACTGTTAATTATGTCGGCAGTATTTTTGTTCCCAAAATGAATGTATTTCTGTATTGTGCGTTATGTGTAGATTGGTGGGATATTCATAACTATGATATTTTCAGTAAAAGTAAGTGCTAGCTAAAGGAAAGTAATTGGCTGTGCAATACCCAAGTGAAGTTTAAAGAGGTTCTTGGTCCTTAGATTTGAGAGGGACTTTGTAGGCATCTTCAGTTCATGAGTAACTGCAGCCGCTGTGTTGGTTTGCTAACCAGCCGCAGGAGAAGATGGGTCATTCATTACGCTTGTCCATCTCCCTCACCCGCAGGTGCGACCCCGGCTTTTCAGGGCCGGCGTGTGAGATGGCATCGCAGACCTTCCCAGTGTTCATCTCCGAGAGCTTCGCCAGCTCGCGCCTCTCCTCCTACCACAACTTTTACTCCATCCGGGGGGCCGAGGTCAGCTTCAGCTGCGGGGTCCTGGCCAGCGGCAAGGCCCTGGTCTTCAACAAGGATGGCAGGCGCCAGCTTATCACCTCCTTCCTTGACAGCTCCCAGTCCAGGTGAGAGGGAGGGAGCAGTAACGTGAGGCAAAGAAATTAGGAACCCCTCCCCTTCCGGCTACAACCTTGTGTATTACTAAGCCGATTGTTTTAGCAGAAGGAATTTTTTTTAAAAAAAACCTCCTAGTTCCATATTTTAATGGTGACTTCATAGCCTCGCCTTTTTTCCTCCTGTTTTGTAAACAACAGAGCCCAAAACAGACTGGAGGGAAGTTATTGTACAGCTCAGATGGAAAATATGAAATGTTAATATCAAACGTGAGTGCCGAAGCCAAATGCCAATTAATTATTTATAAGGTTGTGTTTATTTGACAGCTTGTGGCAGCTGATTAGATCCGTTCACCATCTCTCCCTCCCCTTCAGTGCCTAATAAATAATTAAATGCTGTAATGATTGGCATTTTTTAACTCTATGTGCCACATTACATTACTTGACAGTAAAAACAAATTACAGGTACAAAACTCCGTAACTTGATACTCACCAAAATTTGTCTAGATTGAGAAGATCTGAAAACATCCTGGTTAGGAAAAAAAAACCCAAACCAAAAACCAAACAAACCAAAAAAAGACATTATGCATATGGTACCCTATAAATATCTGTGTAATTCTGATCCAGGTTCCTGCAGTTCACGCTACGCCTGGGCAGCAAGTCAGTGCTGAGTACCTGCAAAGCACCCGACCAGCCCGGGGAAGGAGTGCTGCTGCACTACTCCTATGACAATGGCATTACCTGGAAACTGCTGGAACACTACTCTTACCTCAACTACCATGAGCCAAGGTATATGCATAAATATTACGAGGAATGTTATCTACCCGCAGTAGCTAACTGCTGGTGGTGGTAGTCACTGCCATGCTGAGAGTAAGTACATCTGCCCACCGGCATGGGAGTGAGTGGAGTGAAGAACTTCTACTGCACACTGAAAGTTACCGCTTTTCCTTGAAATTTTGCAGCTGTTCTGGGCACTGCCCGTTTTTGCCTGCTTCTATAAAAATGAATGCATGGATTTAATGGCGTCTGAGTCTCAGGTGATGTGACAGAGCAAGCCGAGGCAGTGGGGGATGAGAAGAAATGGACTTGTGGGAAATAGGGGCACGTCTCTTCCCATGGAAGCAGCCACTTGTAAAGAAAAATTAACATAAATTATTTGTAGCTTTGAAGCCATAGATACCTTCACTACACCATCCTCTGGGATTAGGAGTTCGCAGGCAGTGCAGGACAGCTGAGATGAAATAGGAGGTCTCTCCGGGCCAGCAGGGAAACTGTGCCTGCTCCCGTTGTGAAGGGCATTACGCGGCTTTGCCTGTGCCCGTGGAGGACCTGCTAGTGACCGCGCCTGGGAATCGCGCCAGCCATGACGCGGCTGAACAACGAGCTCATTGCGTCTAGCAGCCTCTGCTTCATGTCAGATCAGAGAGGAATGTATCATCTGATGTATTTGGAGAAGAAGGTATTAGTTACTGCTACATTTGTGAAAGCATCCACCGGTTTTAATAAAGCAATGCAAAATCAGGAGTCTCCACCTGCACCACAACCCCAGAACAACCGGGTCTGGCTCCGTGCAAACCCACTCAAACCTGGAAGCATCCACCTTCTCGGTGCTTCTGCAGCAGAGCCCACAAATCCTAATGGCAGGCGATGCTCTGCGAGGGGCCACACGAGAGGCAGAGCTGCCAGTGGCATCGCAGGTCCCATCCCAGCTGGTCCATCATGCCTGCCTGAGGGTGGCTTTGCCCTGCATCCTCTTCGCTACCCCTCTGTCCAGTCCCAGGATAAGTCAACCCCAGGGGCGGGACTGTAGATACGTCTGCTAGTCACTTTAGCTACATATAACTTTATTTTTATATATTGAGCTCAGATCTGCACAGTTAAAAAAAAAAAATTTAGATTTCCTCATCTTGTTAATAACTCAGTCCAAAGTTACAATATTTTGTAATATGTGATTAGGAATATTCTAATGGAAAGAAACTTTAAACATATTTCCTGGGAGCTATAAGAAATACTCAAAAATCTGAAAGGAATAGATGTGTTTGGTGGAAGTGTACTGCATGTAGGCTTTAATTTCTAAAGTTTTAAATGTTTCCAAAGGAAAGATCCTACAAACTGGGACACTCACAAGCCTTTTTCAAAATTTCCTTTCTTGTGCTTTATTGTAGTCACATATATATATTTTATATGGCCCTATTTCTAATTCTTAGATTCACGATTATAGCTGTAGGAGTCATATTTCCCTAAAGGTTTTTAATATATAGCACTATGGAATTTTTATAACAAAAAGGAATATACACATTCTGGTGACTGATTTTAATGAAGTTTAAGATATAAATGTAGTAAATTATGTTGATGCCAGAGACTTTTTTTGCTTTTTGAGGTTAAGCATGAAACACGGTTTCTGTTGCTCTAACAGGTCAAAGAGCTAAGCACAACATACACAGATTAGAAAGTTTTTGTCATGGGATATGTGTAGTCCATTCTGGGTAGACAGAAAAATGACAGACATACAAACCTGAAGATAATCCTGGCAATAATTATGATGAAGAACATGAAGAAAACTTCACCTTTTCATATTAAGTTGTCTGAAAATATCAGCATTTTTGTAACATAGATGGACTGCTGCAAAGTTTGGCAATCAATCTGTATCCAGAAATTTAATTAATCTTCAGTCATACAAAAAATAATTACACATTTAATGTTCTGCTGAAAAGGTGCATTTAATCTGCTAACATTTGACAGCTGCATTTTTCTTCTGAGCAGAACAGCGGTGGCTTTTCAATATTAGGTATGCGCATAGCTTGAAAGAATGAGATCAGAGCAAAGGTCTCCCAGCTGGTTTTTAAGAAATCTAATGGTAGCTGGTAATGTTAGTAGGAACACTTTTCTTCTCTGCAGCAGAAAAGTCATTAGCAAGAATCTCCCTCCCTCTCCATCTATCTCCAGCAAATCAAAGCCAGACAGAGAAGCTGTTATAACTGGAGATGTAGTCAGGTTCTGCATACTAACATATGTGCCATATACAGTGGTTTACACCAACGTTTTTAAATTGTGCTTGCTTAATCCCCTGGGATGAGACATTTATTTCAACGTGTTAAATATTTTAACATCCAATAGGTGTATCAGTATGTCATGATTTAGGATTTTCTGTAAATTACTGTCAGTGAGAATTAGTGTCCACGTGGGCAAGCGTCTGAGAGTGAAGAGTAAAAAGGAAGATGCAGGCGTGAGAGGCAGCCACCAGCAGGTAAATATGCCCAGGATTATAACAGAGCATTAGCTCACACAAATGCCAAGTGCTTCACGGCGTACACTGCATGCAGTGCTCCTCCTAGCTGGGGTACTGGCTTTCCTTGGGTTCACCCTACTGGCCCATGAAAGCCAAAAGCGTCAGTTCCTTTTAGCATCAGTAGCAATTTACTGTGATTTGTGCCTTTAAAAATTGACCAAAAAGTCGTAGAGTTGCAGCTCATGGGGAACTTTTGGTAGAAGGCAATTCCTTGTAGTTTATTCGCATGCCAGAGAGTAGTGGGGCTTGGTCTTTCTCTCCAAAGTGTATGAAGTGGTTCAAGCACGTTTATTTGAGCAGCGGCAGATGTGTAGCCGCCGTACATAAAGTCTGGGCACCGCCGTCGCCCCGGCTGTCCCTCAAGGCTGCCTGCGCTCTCCAGCCCACGGCTGGCAGAGAGCAGCTCCTAGAAACGCCTCCCAGCACTTTTTGGGGCCTTCCCACCTGTTTAGCCAAGCCGTTCGATTTTTCTCACCAATGGATTGACGTATTCTTCTTTAAAATCAATGTGACATTAAACAGCAGTATTACAAACTTATTCTTTACAAGGACAGTTTCGCAAGTCATTTTTAAGAGCGTGGTTTTGCAGTAAGAACGCTGAAGGCACGAGACCGTTTCATAAGCACAGAACAACAGGCAACCTAGAATGCCTTAAATCTGGAAAAACCTTGGTGCTAAAGTATAAAATGATCTTTCTGGTATACCCGATTTGTCATTTTATCCACATTTCCTCTGAGAGAAAACGAAAAGTATCGGCTACATGATGAGCTTGCCGAAAACCCTTTTGCCAGCAAATAACTGTGCACCGATGGAGCCAAACGTCCCTGTTGCCAGTCTGTTTCACAGCTGACATGCGTTGTGTGGGGCACCATGGTCCTGGTGATTTATGGAGCTTTCAGGAAGGTGTCGTTGCTGTGGCAATTAATGCATGCTGCCTGCTGCTGTGTACGATAATTACTCCTGGAAATTAGATACTACTCTTAAATTTCGTATCAGTCTGTCAATTATAGGTTTGTTGACATAGCTGCCATGACAAATCAGGTGACCTTGCATACCAGAAGTACCTAGGACTCACTTCCAGTTGCGTCTCTATGCAACTACAGAAGAAAAGTGTGCGCCATAAGAGATTACACATAATCACGTTGTCTGACATGAAGAACCTTTTCCGCTTGAACATGGCAATTTACAGGGTTGGGTTCTTCTAGGACAAGAGCAACACAGGCATGACATCAGTGCTGTGCAGAAACAAGCATAGACGTTAAGAAGATGCATCTCTTCAGATCAGGGTAGAATCCACTGAGTCTGAGAAAGCGGAGCTGGAATTTATAAATCTTTGTCAGCTGATCATCCCTTTGGTAGCCTAAGCCCCTGGCCTACAGATGGGTTTCAGAGGGAATGCATTCAGGTTTCTTCTGGCAAGCAAGAGCAACTGTAAAATTTACAGAGCGCTCCACAATAGCGCCAAAATTTGCAAAATTTACAAAGTTGATGGCTTTTGCACATGGCTATCTTTCAATAAATACATTGACTACTAAGAGAACTAACAACTCCCCTGTCGCTGACACTGGTAGAAGCTATACCAGTAGATGCTAAGTTATTTGTGGGCTGAATTTAACCCATGATTTTTAGGGTCAGTAAGAAAATATAACCATAAAATACATCCCCATGGAATTATTACAAACAGCAAAACTTTCAATAAGAATTTTGTTCTGTTTTCCAGAATAATTTCAGTGGAGCTGCCTGAAGATGCAAGACAGATTGGCATTCAGTTCAGATGGTGGCAACCGTATCACTCTTCTCAAGGCGAAGATGTGTGGGCGATCGATGAAATCATCATGACCTCTGTGCTTTTCAATAGCATCAGTCTGGACTTCACCAACCTAGTTGAAGTCACACAGTCTCTGGGATTCTACCTGGGAAACGTTCAGCCCTACTGTGGTCATGACTGGACTCTTTGGTGAGAAACATTTATTCATTTCTGTTCTACTTTTGTTTTCTTTGTCTATTCTATGCTAAGAACCAAGAGATTTCTGCAGATGAGTCCTTCTGGCAGCTATTCAGAGTAAGCGTGTCTCATCCTCACATTATGGACAGAAATACAGTCACTAATCTAATTGCAGTTAGCAGTAAGTCTTTACACCTCATTGCACAGAGATTTATGTTTGCTGGGAACCTTGAATGTAAGATTCTTTCCCCACAAAAAGTTTAAGGACCATCCTAATAGAAACAACTTACTTAGAAAATTCTCATAATTTTCACTTAAAATCCAGTCTGGTTAATATGGGTATACAGGTTATGAAATTAATCTGTTAAGTACAGACTGGATATTTTGTAAATGATGTTCAGATCTGTTTACATAGCCATTAGATTACACTCCAAAAGGAAAGACAGCAGAATGTTGGTAGAATGAGGTTAGCCATTTGTAGTTATTTTGTATGGTATTATATCCATTTAGTCATTTACACTGCATTCAGCATTATGACGTATTGCAATTATGCCTACAATGTGCTGTGTATTTAGAAACAAAAGCAAGAAAACATCACCTGCCCCAAAGCAAAAAAAAAGACAAGAAAATAAAAAGAAATTAAAAACAAAGGAAAAGAAAATTCTGGTAGGGTTGTGTAAAAATAAGCTTTTTTAGTAAAACGTTAACCTGCTTCACAAAAGTTAAATTCTGGAGTACGTAAATGTAACATTTGGAATTAATACAAGTGAAGCTCAATTTAATCTCTATGTTTTGATTAAAACTAAATAACAGTTTCATGATAGTCTGATCAACATATAAACCCTGTATGGCTTTAATTGGCATAGATATATTTATTTGGAGAAAGTACAATCACAGTAATTATAGAAAACCTCATGAAAATATAAATAATTTTAGCATCCCCATGGGCACTCAGAGAAACACTGTTGGAATTTTATTAACAAGTGTGTCTGAGCAATCTGATTTGACTTTCTGATCATCTGTCAAACTAAAAGGAGTTGGCTTAACAGTAGGAACAACACCAAATGTGTTCTAGTGGTGATAATGAGGCAGTAGAAGCACCATTAACCACTTTAATAAGGACAAGGAAGGTACTCACTGCTCATTAAAATGAAACAACATGTTAGGGCTCAAACTGATGTTAGGTTCTTCATCAAAGACTTGGAATGAAAGCCCTTTAATGACATTGTTTTCCCTCTGTTCTTGTAAAACCAGTTTATCATGGGGAGGGGGTTAGGTTATTAAGAAAGCAGAGGTTCCTCAATTTTCCTCCTATGATTCTAAATCAGAATCAAAATAATAAACGCTAAGCTAAATTCTCCATCCCGTATATTGGCTAGGATCTGTAGTGCTCAGTCATAGTGGAAATGTTGAACCTTCCATGCATCAAATAAAAAATCAAAGACTTTTCAATATTTCCTTACTATTTATGTGTAAGTGTTTTTCATTATCACTAGAAGATGTGAACTCCATCCTTCACTGACCTTGTTTCTCTCAAGGGAAATTTTTAAGCTTACACAAAGTCTGTACAAATGGCTGCTAGTTAAATTAATGATTGTTGGCTTTTCCCAGCTGTGAGTCCATTTGGTTCTCATTTTCTAACTCATGACTTTCTATGAGCAGAGTTTGCAGTAGCACTGACACCATCCTCTTGAGAAAAGTCTGACAACTGCTTTTTCATTAGCAGAACTATGGTAAATACACTATAAATCATTTTACAGGGTGTCATCCCCAGGCAATGAATTGCCTTTAATTGTCTATTAGGCTTCTGTGTCTGCCTCAGAATCTGTAAATCTGAAATATTTATCCTTAAAATTGGGGAAAACTGAGGAGGGGTATTTTTCTTTTTGTTGAAGAGGAAGGTTATTCTTTTCAATCTCTGGCTTCATTTAGAAAAGAGGAGTTTGTTGATATACGTACATTTTGAGCAAAGGTGATTTTTGAGTGTTTTATAATGGTCTATATCTGGAACAGTCACTTTATTTGATTTAATCATCAAAATTTGTTTTCAGATTGGTTCTTAGACTTTACTACAGCAAGTGTATTGAGTATATGGAAAGGACTCCAGAACACTTTTATAAATGAAATGTTTGACGATATATGTTAATTCATCACTTCTCCAAAATGCTCATATGTGGGCAAGGTTTTGACTCAAATGCCTCTGAAGTGTTACAGAATATTTATGGCCACTTGCTGAAGTGCATTTAAGTATCGATAAGGATGCTAAATCTTACTTTTTTTCTTTTTTTTTTTTTATATTCATCTGGACACAGATAAAATAGCATTATATAAATAAACTGTCTTCAGTCGGGTTACGACATTATGATTTAACTCGATGTAATGGACAATAGAGTGTCCCACTGTCCCCGGAGCAGCCTGTGGGAAGACTGTAAATCTGGCTCGTAATGAGCTATCCTTATGGAGCAATATAATACAGTTGCCTTACATCAGCTTGATAGTTTACCTGTGTTTACAAAATGTTTTGTCTTTTAGATTAATTATTACTCTATAACATGCAGAAAGTTTCCTTCAGGTAATTGAAAGGGATTATTTAATGAAGTAGGTATGATGTGATGTAAAAAGTCATGAACATCTACTGCCTTTGATGGAAGCAGAGCTAAGGCTGGAATGAGCGTTTGGCCATTACATCGATATTCTTGGTCAATGCAGCTTTACAAAACCAGCTGCATCCGTGTGGCTTTTCAGTATTCCTGAAAGTACCGACCTCAAAAATGTGTTAACTCTGGGGATCCCAGAGCAGTTTGGAGCAGCACAGATTGGCTGACATTGGCTGTGATCGTTCCCAGAAGTACCAATTAGTTGTCAGTGCTTTGAGGGAGAGTGATTGTTCTGAGGGCACCTATGGGTATTGTGTTCCTGTGCCTCCGCAGGTCTAATTATATACGCACTAGAAACCAACACACAGCTACATATTTATACAAAAATGTAGCCTCTGTATTCTCATTTCTGAAGATTTTTTAGTTAATTATTGTTATGCCAGGGACATTACTCTTTTACAAAATCCAGAAATGTATTCCAGCTGCGTGACTCCCAGAACAAAGAAAACGTTTGGTATTCCAGCAGAAGAGCATACCCCTAACCACGTACACGGGAGAGCTGGAGAGCGAAGAAGTGGCAAATAAGGTGGAGCCTCCACCTTTAATGCTACCCTTGTTGACCTGGAGGCAATTTGTGGATGATAAAGGACTTTGTGAACCCATAATGTGACTTCCTCCCCTTAAAAGAGGGTTTTATGGAGCATCACAGATTGTCTTCATCTCATCACTAGCTTCCTTTTTCATATTTCTTTAATATCAATTTTAAAGAGCTGTTTTGACTTTAAAACAATGCTTACTTAATGTACTGTGTACAATATCCAGTGGCTAAGTTATTATGTGAAAATGAATACTAAACTTAAAGTGTTTTAATCATGACTTGAATGCCACCAGTAAAAAAGATCAAAGTTTAAGATTTTTTTTCTAGTTTTACACCAGTAATATTGAATAGAGGGAATTTTTGTGAAGACAAAGACAAAATGAAACATTTAATTCTTCACACCTATGCTGAGCACCAGTCCTTCAATTTTCTTCCATCATTTTGGAAAAGACTGCTTCTAAGCAAGTGCTTCAGCAAACTGTTTAGTTTCAACTCCTTTATTCTGTTCAGATGAGCTTTAGGTAACAGTGATGTGTTGTGTCCAAGTTTATGTGTGCAACGACAAATTATTTTTCAAATCATTGCTACATATAAGTTTCAGCTGATTACAGTGCACATAGCTGAAGAGCCTGGTTGCGTTGGCACAGATTTCCCAAGAGGGCTTCAAGTAAAAGTTATATTTCCCACATCAGCGATGAAATTTCAAGCTACACTGCAGAAATTAAAACCATGTCAAAGTCAGTATTTGTCAATATGAAAAATACAAGATAAATTTTGGAAGAAAAATAAATTCAGGCAGTATCCAAATGAATTTTTCTGACGTGCATTCAGTTCTAACGATGAAGCCACCAACTGTAGGTTGCCAGCTGGACCACTGACGAGTGTACATTATATCCTCTGCTCAACTCAAAATTATTCATCCCATTGAGAAAAAAAAACCCACTGACGATATTGACTGAAAGAGTAAACAGTTGAGATACAGTTTTCCAAGGCAATTTACTGTCTTCTGATCCAGTTGTCCATGACAGTGCCCCAGTACTGAAGGGAACATTCATCCACAGTCTGTTCATGGTGCTGATCCATGTAGACTGGGTAGTTTCATATGGTGCCATGAGCTGGATCATCCTTTAGGAAATGAAGCCTCAGAGAGCAAGATCAGAGAGTAAAAAGGACCCTGGATCTTAACTTGTGCCAAGTAACAGCAATTTGATAATGACAAAACTAATGTCAGCTTTCAGTAATTTCTTCTAAATCTTTAAGGTAGGATGCTGACATTTATCGTTTAACTGTTTTATCTGGAAAGGACACTATAGAAAACAGTGTGGGGCAGTGAATTAATTTAAGAGTGCTGAGTAACACTGACTTGTATGCCTAGTCCTCACACTGACTTCACTGTGACCTTGAATTTTACAGGGGTAGAAGCTACTACGTTTAATTGTACAGAACTGAAAGATAAAGATTTCTCATAGAATAGAATCATTTAGGTTGGAAAAGATATTTAAGTTCGAGTCCAACTGTACTTTTTTATTTCTTTATTATATTTTTATTTCTTTATATTCTCTATATTTTATTTCTTTATTATTACTTATTTAAGATGATAAACTGTAACTTACTCGACTCCCCAGGCTTGAGGAGGAGTGGCTGGGGGGGGGCCCAGCAGAAAAGGACCTGGGGGTGCTGGTTGAGAGCCAGCTGAACATGAGCCAGCAGTGTGCCCAGGTGGCCAAGAAGGCCAACAGCAACCTGGCTTGTATCAGCAATAGTGTGGCCAGCAGGAGTAGGGAAGTGATCATGCCCCTGTACTCAGCACTGGCGAGGCTGCACCTCGAATCCTGTGTTCAGTTTTGGGCCCCTCACTACAAGAAGGATGCTGAGGTGCTGGAGCGTGTCCAAAGAAGGGCAACGAAGCCAGTGAGGGGTCTGGAGCACAAGTCTTATGGGGAGCAGCTGAGGGAACTGGGGTTGTTTAGTCTGGAGAAGAGGAGGCTGAGGGGAGACCTTATCGCTCCCTACAACTACCTGAAAGGGGGTTGTGGCGACAAGGGTGTTGGTCTATTCTCCCAACTAACTAGTGATAGGACGAGAGGAAATGGCCTCAAGTTGCACCATGGGAGATTTAGATGGGATATTAGGAAAAATTTCTTCACCGAGAGAGTGGTCAAACACTGGAACAGGCTGCCCAGGGAGGTGGTGGAGTCACCATCACTGGAAGTGTTCAAAAAACATGTAGATGTGGCACTTCCGGACATGGTTTAGTGGGCATGGTGGTGTTGGGTTGATGGTTGGACTTGATGATTCTTAAACGTCTTTTCTGACCGTAATGATTCTGTGATAAGAGCAACCTTGAACTAGATTATTCTCTTTGTCACTGCTGTACTGAATGTAGCTTTTTATTTTTGCATGATGATTTGCAGTGATTTTCTTTAAAAAGATGCAATCCCTATCCTAAATTGTTCACATTTAAGAATACTCTTAGAAAATATTGAAGCTAAAAGGACTACAGTAGTTCTGAAGACACGAACTAAACATCTCAAACTAAGGAGAGGGAGATTTTCATTCTCTGTGAACTTTTTAAGAAACATTCTGTTTTGAAGGATAGTGTGTAGGATTCAAAGTTTAAATTGTTATTACTTCCTCCTTATACCTCTCTTAAATTTGATTTTTTTTTAAATAGTGTATAGAAGAAAAACCTTCATTTAAATTGAAATAATCTTGTAATTTCAAAATATATTGTGTTACGATGTATGTGATAACTGGGTACCTTGTATCATATATCAGGCTTGGTGTGTTCCAAACATTACTACTGACAAAATTATCTTCTCCAATCCACTGGATAATATAACTCTTATATCTGTACATCCTGCAGAAAAGAAGCTGAGGATCCACGATACTAATCCTGAAACACAGTCAAGTCAGTGAATGTGTTGCATATAGAATCACTTGAAAAATCAATGGAATGCAAATTCCATGTAATAAGAATATTTTAAACTAAATGCAGTGTATCTTTATTGTCCAGTGTTTGGATGAAATTACAGCTGTTACTGTGACATGACCTTCGGCAATGGATACTCCTGGGGAATGAACTTTCTTTTTGATGTTTTTTCTGTGCATTATCCTTTGCTTGATCCTAACTTGATCCTTAATACAAAGAGCATATAGTAAGAACTAACAGAATAATTCAGTGTTTCACACTCTGGGATACATCAAGGCATTAC